CTTTAAATAGTAATATAGAGAGTTTATGTTTTGTTTTCTGAATATTATTTGTGTCCTGTGGCTGTAAGCTCTGTTTTAGCAATACATACAAGGGTCACAAGGGAGGAACTGCTCTTTTATTTACAAGATTACACATTTGAAGTCAGATAACCAGGGTTGAGTGCTATCCATCTCATGTATCTATTGTCTGAATGGCCCTGTGGAAGTCATTTAACTTCTCTAATCCTCAGTTTCTTTACTGAGAAACTGAGTCTAATGGTAGTTGTACCATAGGATAACCAAATGACAATTGCATGTGAATAATAAAGCACTACCAAATGTCAGCTAATATTCTTATTTTTATAGTTTTTTAAAATATATTGTTATTGATTTCAGAGAGGAAAAGAGAGGGATAGAGAGATAGAAACATCAATGAGGAGAGAGAATCATTGTTCAGTTGCCTCCTGCACACGCCGTGCTGGGAATGGAGCCTACAACCCAGGCATGTGCTCTTGGCTGGAAATGAACCTGGGGCCCTTCAATCCACAGGCCGACACTATATCCACTGAGCCAAACCAGCTAGGGCCAGTGAATATTTTTAATCTTCATGGTTGAGAGAGCACATGATGCACATGCCCCCTGAACTCAAAGGGAGAAGAGGGTTTAACACATGTTTATCGATTGCCAACAGGATGTTGGGCCTTGCATAAAGCAGCATATGCATATGTATTGATAGATGGATAAATCAGTCAGGGAGAAGTATTGAGAGCCAGGACAACCAATATTTGCTTGCTTTTCAAAGCACAGTAAATCTAAATCTGAGTCTCCAATTGCAATTGCAGTCAGCATGTCTAGGAAACCGCAGCACATTCTCTTCTATTACTGAAGGAGACAGCTGCCTAGTCAATGTAAATTTTATTGTAAAATTGTTTAATAGAATTCACAGATATGGGAGGACAAACACACTTGAGACACTAATGGAGGGTCTGAATTTGATATGTGCAGACAAAGAGGCCTATCAGACTGGCATCAGTTATTGCTTTACAGAGAAAGGTAGGCAATAAAAGAAAGTGACTACTAATGAAAGGAAACGCACACTGTTCCACTGTCACCATCCCCCCCAAACAGAGTAAAAAAAATAGGAGTGGAAAAAGCATCTAAATTTTTGATACAGTAAATAAATACTATATGTATACTATACTCAACCTCTCTGTACCATTTGATAACCAGGATCCTTTATCTGTTGAAATTCTCTATACACTGCATTATTGTGATACTACAATATCCTTGTTTTCCTTATACCACTCTGACCCATCCTGCTCTGTTTCCTCAATGGTTATTCACTAATTCTTCAGGTCTCTGTGGATATTCTCTTAGTCTCTATCCTTGGCCATTTATTAGACCCAATTTGCACCTTTCAGCTATTGTTATGGTTCCAGATATAACCTCTGCACATATGATTTCTAAAAAGTTAAATTAAGTCTCAACTTCTCCACTGAATACCAGTTGTATATTTCTAAATTATTAATGAACACTTAATTAGTAAATTTACATGTCTGGAACTAATTGATTATTGCTCTAAATTGAACCCTTTACCCAATCCCTTTTCTTTGTCTGCTTAAACATCATATTGTCATTCTGGAATCTATACTAAATATTGTGGTCAATGAAATCCTCTTCAACATATTATTTATTAAATCTCTAATCATTCTCTTGCTCAAAATGTTTCAATGGCTCCCCATTTCCTAGTGGAAAAATCCTATTGATTATAAGTGTATTTAAAAAGTGGGAGCTTCTGTGTTCTATTAACCTACCACACCATCTAGTCTTGTGTATTATACATTGTAAACCATAATAATTTCTTATTGAATTAAATTATACTCCTTAGTCTTCCATTATCAGTTTCCTTAGTCTGGTCCATTTCTAACATCCAAATTTACCTACAGGGACTCTTCATAATATGTTTCATGCTATTGTTCTATTCACTTTCACCTAAATATGCTGAGATCATTCTTCCTTCACATTTTGGACATAATTCCTCTTTCCTCTGTTCAGCTCTCACTACTCTTCAAAACTCAGCCCATTTTTAAATCCCTCTCATAAGTCCTTTCTTAAATCTTTTAGTTCACATTGATAAGTTCTAATTTTGTATTCTTTGACATTCATATTTCTAATTATTCCTAATTATTAAATTGACTCTGGTCTTTGACTCTTTCCTCCTCCTTCATTATGACTATACTAGAGGCCCAGTGCATGAATTCATGTATGGGTGGGATCTGGCTGGCTCGGCCCCAATCAGGGTGGATCAGGGCTGGGCCTGTTGGGAGGAGGGGAGGGCGGGAGGTTGGCCAGTTGAACTGCCCTGATCAGGGCCTGATCATGGCCTGGCCAGCTGGGGGGAGGGGTCGTGGGCAATTGGCTGGCAGGCCCCACCCCTGATTGGCCCAGCCCCTGAGTGGGGTAGGGGTGACTGATCAGGGGTCAGCAGCCTGGAGGAGGGGGGCCATGATCAGAGTGGGAGGGCTGATGGGGGACAGAGCTGGTGGGGGGGGGTGCTGTGCTAATCAGGGTGGTAGGGGCCCATCAGGGCTGGGAGGAGGGGCTGCAGGCAGTTGGCTGGCCAACCCTGCCCCTGATTGGGGTGGGGGGCCAATCGGGGGATGGGCCTGTCAAGGGAGGGGCTGCAGGCAATCAGGGTGGGGAAGGCCAATTGGGGGTGGGACTGGCCATGGGGGAAGGGTCACGGGAGGTTGGCCAGCCACCCGCTCTTGATCAGGGTGGGAGAGGCCAATCAGGGGAGGGGCCAGCTGGGGGGAAGAGCCCATGGAGGTTGGCTGGCCAGCCCCACCCCCCAATCAAGCTGGTTTGCTGGCCACAGTGGGTGTCATGGAGACTGGTTGCTCTGGTCACGGCGTTCTGGTTGCTGGGTTTTTCTATATATAGATTGTTATTTTACTTTTAAATTGCTTATGTAATTTTTCCTGGGTATTCATTTTGTGTGTCCAACTACATTATAAAGTGCTTAGGGGGGAATACGACATCATATGTTCTTGTATCGTTCCCATATTCTAGCACTATGCTATGAAAAAAGTAGAGGCTCAAAAATATCTGTTAAATGAATGAGTGACAATGAGGGCAACTAAAACATTGAAATTGAATATTTATTACAATTAATAGCTTTGAAATAAGTCAAAGAAAAAATTCTCCATTTTTTAATATGAAGTTTTTGGGATACCGTTATCTTTTATTATCTGATCTATAACTTATTTAGTCTATTAGATAAGAAGAGAATAAAGCCTAATAAATGTACACCTGTTTTATGCACCATTGATGAGTGACATTAAAAGTCATTAAATGTTACAACAGCTCATAAAGGAAGATAAAGAACCCATGGAGAATTGCAAAAAATAAGTAGAGAACAATTTGGAATTATATTAGTAGAATTTTCCCTAAGGCTTGTAGAATCAATATGACAGTTCCTTCCAAACTATGATTACAAAGCAAGAAAAGAGCTATTTGAGTAGGAGATGAAAAGACAAAGCTCTTAACCACCTTGCTATTGACCCTGTTTTAGATCTAGCACTTGCATATGTAATTAATTTAGCACCAGGCAAAAAGGATTTTGCTTTACAAAAAATATTCTGTCATTTTCCTGGCATTCAGAGCTTGAAGGTGTTTCACTAGCACTCAAGGTCTACATCAAAAATTCTTCCACTCAGGCTTCTTGATACTTACCTTTCATTTACTTTATCACTGGCCTCAATTGGTTTATTTTTTATAAAAAGATTATATTTAAGTGACTCTATATGGATTTTCCCCTCTCTTAATTAACACAAATTCCCTAATACTTAGAATGAATGTCACTAAAAAGGTTCATTTTGTGGGAAATAAGATGACATAGTAAGGAGTGAAAATGTCAACATGAAGAAAACTACTTTGCTATTAATATGCTATTACTTATTGAAAGTAAGAGCCTTACAGTGTGCCATCTGACCTCATCTCCATCACTCCACCTTCAGCTCACACTACAGTAATAACTTTGGCTCACTCGTGTCCCTCAAACACATTTAGCTCTTTTCTACCTCAGGGTTTCTGTATGTGCAATTATATATATGATACATAGCGTCACTATCTATACATATAAAAGGCTAATATGCAAAGTGTCCCCTCGGGAGTCTGACCAGGAGACTGGGAGTTCTATCGCTCACTATGATGTGTACTGACAACCAGGGGGCAGCGCAAAACAAAGGAAGGCCCCGGCCAGCAGCTGGAAGGACCCAATCGGCCCTGATTGCCGGCCAGGCCTAATGACCTTACTGGTGCATAAAATTCATACACTGGGCCTCTATTATAGCTTATAAAATGGTGCCTACTTCTTCATCACTTTGTTTTCATTTTACATCATTTTATTATTTCCTAGTACTCACTACTAACATTGTATAATATTTTACTTTCTTTATTGTCTGTCTCATTCCCAACAACTAAACTCTAAGATAATGAGCATCTGCCTGCCTTTCTTGCTATGTCACTTCAACAACTAGATCAGTATCTAGTGCACAATGAATAATCTTTCATTGAGTCCTTACTCTGTATGAAACAATCGGCAAAGTTCTTTAAATGGATTATCTAATTTAATCATTATAATAGAATGTTTAGTATTTCTATTTCATAAATGAAGAAAACATAGATAGATGTCTTGATGTACAGTAACTTGTTTGAGGTAAACAGTAAGTGATGGAAACTGAACTGTCTGACTGCTAAACCTAGGCTCTTACTTACTGCTATAAAGTCTCTCTGTATCAAGCCATTTTTATATTAACTGATGTTTTATTACACTGTCATAAAGTAGACTGAATTGATTATCAAAAGAACATTTATAGCTTAATTTGATCCAAAAAAATAAATGAGTGGGTTTAGTAGCTAAAAAGTAAACAACTTCCAGGAAGCCAGTATTTGAAAAGAAGCTGGTATGTGAACAAGAATACAAAGAGTCAGGTTTACTTAACTAAGGTGTGACTTACCTCCAGGTGACCAGCTATTGTAGCAATATGCAGAGCAGTGAGACCGCCATACCCAACCTGCTGTATGTCAGCTCCACTGTGAAGCAGGGAAGTGATCAATTCTGCACTATCCTGTAAAGAAACACATCCTTAGTGTTACCTTTATACTAATAGCAGGTCTGAATGCTGACAGTTTATGTACCCAAAGAAAACCTAAGTGATTTCTGTTATATCAAGGAGCAGCTCTCAGATGGTTGAAAGGTAGGAACAAATGACAGGCCATTCAGTTAGAATCCTATACCACCTGACCATGAAAGACAGAAAGGAGATTTACCTATGGTGAGGCTCTTGCAAATTGAATTCCAACTTACATGTAGGTCACTCCAATAAATGTCCTTTCTCTAGTGACTGCAGTATTGAACTGACTGCCATGGACTATTTCATGGTAGTTTAGTAATTGCTTCTTCTCTACTGCATATGTGTCATGGGCTCTATATATAATTAATCAATAGTGTCTTTCTTAACTTGACTCATTATAATAGTGAAAATGTTGGTAGTATCACTGGAGCTTGTGAGAATAAATTATTCAAATGACAAAGTAATATTTAGGTTATTTATAGTATTATTTGCATTGTGTTTCTATCTCTGGAGGGACATGGAACTTTTTAATAATATTAATAGCAATTACCACGAATTGAATTCATTATGTAATTAACCTTTTATACCTGGTACATGATAGAACTTCAAAAATAGTTGATAAAAACATATTAAACTAAAAAATGAAATATTTCTAAAAAAACTTTATGAAAAATTATTTTTATAACCCTAATTTTATGAATCAGAACACTCAAAAGAGTGATGTGGAGGGTCACATAGTCTCAAAACACCAGCTATGGAAGGGAATGCAAAGAAAGTTCTTCATGTTTAACCCTCTCCCTCAGAGTAAGAATTCAAACCACAAGTTCTGTAATACTTGGCCCATTAACATCTCAAACATACTCAGTGGCAAGAATGTCAAGTAGGCACAGGATTGGCCACTGCATTTATGCATATACATATCATTTCAAATACTGCTGGTTAAGAAAATTCTTCCATTAAAAAACAAAGTTTAGGGGGTTCCAGTCAAGATGGTGACATAGGTAAATGTAGTACTGAAATCCTTCTACAACTACATCAAAATTACACCTATCCTGCCGAAAAACCTTCATTCAGAACAGCCTGAAATCTAGCTGAACAGGAGTCCTACAACTGAATATATAAAGAAGAAGCCACATTAAGACTGGTAGGAGGATGGAGATGCTGATTGGGCTGGTCCCACACCACATGTGGTGGATAAAAAATCTGCAGAGGTCCTCCCTGAGGAGCGAGGGGTTCCAGCCCCATACCAGCCCACCCAGCTGATGGTTCCAGTGGCAGGAAGAGAATAACATATAACTTCTATCTGTAAAAAACAGAAGGAATTGTGGCTGAGTAGGAGGGCAGTTGGACTCCTAGGCATTCCTCTTAAAAGGCCCACACAGGCACTTAATCAGACTCAGTCACTCTGAGTTCCAATGCTAGATGCACCAGGAGCACGTGGGGAGGAGCTGAGTTGTCTGCCATTGGGGCAATAGAAGGAGGGGCAGCTTTCCCTCAGACAGAAGTACTGGCAGAGACCATTGTTCCTTTGTTGAGCCCTCCCACTGAAGAGCCTGCAGGTGAGTGCCAGATCTGAGACTCCGTCAAGCTGACCGACACTGTTTGCCGGGGCGTGATAATTCCACTAAAACTTTCACCATACCCACAATGAGGCTCTTTTGCTTTCTTATCATTTGTGTGTTCACTGGAGTAGCACTTTTAATTTCCTTCAAGAACTTTTCCTTTCCAATCACAACTTGGCTAACGGCTGGCACAAGAGGCCTAACTTTTGCCCTATCTTAACTTTCAACATGCATCCTTCACTAAATTTAATCATTTCCAGTTTTTTATTAAAAGTGAAAAACTTGCAACGCTTGCTTCACTTAGAAGCCATATGAGAGTTATGACTTGGCCTAATTTCAATATTGTTTTTGTCTCAGGGAATAGGGAGACCTGAGGAGAGGGAGGTAGTGAGCAGCCAGTTGGTAGAGCAGTCAGAACACACACAACCTTTAGCGATTAAGTTCACTGTCTTACACAGATAGGCAGAGTTCATTCCCCAAAGCAATGGCTGATTACAGATCACCATAACAAATGTAATAAAAATGAAAAAGTTTGAAATATTTTATAATTACCAAAATGTGACACGGAGACGTGAAGTGAGCAAACCCTATTGGGAAAAGGGTGCCCGCAGACGTGTTAGATGAAGAATTGTCACAAACCTTCAATTTGTAAAAAACCAGAATCTGCAAAGCAATATAAAGCAAAGTGCAATGAAATGAGGTTTGCCAGTAATTTCCAAATCTTACGCTCTGCACATCTGCTCTACCAAGAAAATTAAGTAAAGTTTTCTTCTTCTTTTATTATTCCATCGGCTCCTACTGTTCAGTCTAGAGACATTTGTTTTCTCTATTAAACAAAAACCAAATAACACAACAACAAATTTTTATTATTTTTTTACTGAAGCCAAGGTAATTAATTTTATCTCTATCCTTTCCTTTGTTTCCTGGGAAAAGTTATTGATATTCACTACTGACAACTCTGATCTCATTTCTTTAGTAATCCTTAGCTATGTAGACCCAAATCTTGCATAAATCCCAACTGAGTTCACCACACTCCTTACTCGTTGCACTTTGCTTTTTCTCATACTACTCCCTTCTCTTACCCTCTATACCAAAGAGAAATAAGCATTCCTGTTTCTTCCATTTGAAACATTTAGGACTTTATCACAGTTCTGAATCCATCTCCTCAGCTTCAAGAGGTAACTTTGGTTTACCAAATCAAATGTCAATAATCTCCCTCATCTCTGTAGTCAGATCATCTTCTTGAAATTCCTCTTCATTTTGGTTTCATAAAGCCATATATATTTCTGATTTCCTTTTCTTTGCCCCTTCATTGTCACTGTCTCCAAAAAGTTAGTGATTTAGGAGTTTAGTCCTTTCTCATTCTATATTTCATCTTTGGTAATTCTTACACAATCTGATAACTTTATCTTTAATAAATTCAAATCTCATGTATCCTGCCTACCAATGCCATCTCAAATTAGAAATTCAAAACTGCTTTTGTGAATACCATTCATAATTTTCTCAGGGTCATCTGTCATCTCTTGGCATTCCTTATTTATATTTATGGCACTTTCTTATTCTGAATGACACTGAGCCCCTTCAACTCAATCAATTTTAGCTATTGCTGATATTAACTCAATAACACTTATCATTTCTTCTTATTTCTATTATCACCCTCTACTTTACATAGCCCTCTTACTAGTCTCCTTCAGTAAGCCTTTTCTTCCTCTACACGGCTACCAGATAAGTTTTCCCACACACAGTTTTGATTTCATCATTCTCCTTTTCAATAAACTTTTTAGACCCTCAATAAATATTTATGGAGACTATATGGTGTGTGAAACATTGCTCTGAGTAGGGGAAACACTGCAGTGAGTACAACAGTTAAATCCCTGCTTTCATGGAGCTTATACTTTTACTGTGTGTATGTGATGTACCAATGGCTATGAGATAAAACAGGCAAGTGATAAAAGTAGGCTACTTTAATTTGAGTAGTCAGGGAAAGCTTCACTGAAGAGGTGGTCTTTGAGATGAATATTAAATACCAAAAGGAAGAAATCCAAGCCACAACTTCAGCGATGGGCATTCAAGATAGGGAGTAGTGTAAAAATCCTAAAATGGAGATAGGCTTAGTGCATTTGAAAGCCACTGTTGAGTAGAAGACTAAAACGGGGGCGGGGGGAGGAGGATTAATGTTCAAGATGAAATCTAAGACATCTGCTCTTATAGGGTCTCACTGGCCATGGTATTAGGTGTACAGATTGTTTCCAAGAGCAATAGATAGCTTTGGAATGACATGATATTGAGTTAGAGAAGACTAAAAAGTAGTAGTTTCTGAGGTAGAAATAAATGTTTTGTTTTTTACAAGTTAGAGATAATTACAATGCAGGGTTAAGTTTGTACATACTAGAATAAATCTCCCTAGTTAGAATTCCAGCTCTGCTAATGACTATGCAAACTGGGGTGAGTTATAGAACCCTTTTACAGTAATATCCTTGGTTATAAAAAAGGGGGAACAATAACTGTTTCAACCTAATGTGATATACATATAAATTGTGTATCCACAACTCATGTGACAATACATATAAAGCACTTAAAAGATACCTGCCAAACAATATTCAGTGAAACTCATTACTATTGGACATAGAAGTCTGGGACTCGGGGAAACTTCCAAGTTAGTGATTTGACTCCACCATTTAGCTCTTCTTTCTCCTTTCTTTTTATGCCCCCCCCCCGCCACCATTTCTTTACTTCCTGTACTTCATTAGTTATCTATTGAAATCACTGAATAAATAAAACAGGAAAACTCTGAACCAGTACTGGAAATTAGAAAATGTTGACTAGTTCTCCCTCCTCCAGAAAAAATTAATAGGCGTTAACTCTAAACTCAATAATAACCTTTAATTTTGAATGGTGAGGGCTAAAGACATGAGCAGTCTCTGAAATAAATGGGAGAGACATTACCTTAAAACATTTTCCCCTGCAGATGAGCAGGCATTTAAATGCAGGGAACTGGAGAAGGTCTTTTTAAGCATAGAACTGTGTGTGTTTTTACATAGAGGAAAATGTGATAAATTTGAGCAAATGAAAGTCTTAAAAAAACACAATATAAGATAAATGACAAATTGGAGAAATAGTCACAACACATAAAACAGACAAATGGTTTGTGTATTTAATATATGAAGAACTCTTATAAATCAGTAGAAAGATAGATACTCTTTAATTCAACAAATATTTATTAATGAATGTATACCTTATGGTAAGCACTGTGCTAAACTAAATTAAAATAAATTATATGTAAATCATGAAGCATATAACATATTTATCTATCAGGCATATTCTAGTAAACACACATTCATCTTTTCTTCTACTGTCTTTGTATTTTCTCCTTATTTAGCCAAAATTTGTAGAATTAAAATAATGTATGTTATGATTCCTTTAGCATAGTCA